ATGTTCTAATTTTACCAACGCCTGTTAGCCCGATATGGTCGAATTTGGCCGCCATTGCACAGATGGCCCAATATAGTCGATTTTGGCCGCCATCGCACAAGATCTGGACTCGTATTACATGGAAGATTTTACGCCGCAGGACTTGTCGATCGTTGCCGCAGAACTTAGAATTCGTGCAACTGAGCGGAAATCTCGGAGGAATACATAGACGTTAGAGCTTATCCATGACAATTGAAGACACAGTAGATATGCATTTTATTGGCCATGCACAAGAGTTCCAAAAAGCTTGTTTATCTATAATATAAAGTGCATTTATTTCAAGATGAAGCAACACGTAAACAAATTAATTACATTCTTGATTAAGAGATTGAAAAAATTTTAAAATTACTTGTGACAATGCAGGTGGACAGAATAAAAATAAAAATAATGCCACTATTTGACTTTACCTCTATTAGTAATTTGCAGTTGTTATGAAAGTATTGAATTAAAATTTCATGATAACCTGGACATACTAAATTCAAGTGTGATGGTGGTTTTGGATTGATAAGAAACATATTGAAAAATAATGGTAGATTGCATAAATCATATTTATATTGTTGAAATTGTGAAAAGATCAAGTACAGCAGGATTAGACAAAGCTCAGTGTTATGACAATGGAAATGGTTTTCAACATTTAGATCTTAATTCATAATTCAATGTTGGGGATTTCCTTTAAGAAATTGAATAGTTTACAAAGATATCAGCATTTTGTATTCGAAGCAGCCAACCCTGATGTTGTCAAAGCTCAGCCGGTTGCTAATGGTACTTTAATTTATTGAAAACTAGAAAAGCAAGTGTTTCTGAAATATCAAAGAAATCAAATCTTTTTTCATCTTAGTATTAACCTCTCCTTCATTGGATTACAAAAGGCAAGAATATCTTTACCAAAACATTCATGTGTCTGTTAGAGATGAATTCAAAGATATTACTTGCCCACAGCCAATTTATACTGGCAAGTTCGACTAAAAGCCTCTCCATTATTTCAACATTCATAATTTTCTCGTTCATTAAGTTCTTTGTCTAATTTTTCAATAAATATTAATATTGTTATCTTCTCTGGCTTTTAATTTTTAAAGCTTGAATAAACCAAAATATTAAAATAATTGTTTATTTAATATACTATTATAGAAGTACAAAAGCAAGAAAACCAAAAATTGCTAAAAGAAAACAAATTATTAGAAAAGCAATTAACTGAAAAGGAAAAAAAGTTTAAATTCAGAATTTGAAAGGCTGTTCATAGAGCCATTGAAAGTTCAGGAGGTGGGCGAATTTAATGTTATTAAAAAGTTTCAATGACCGGAAAAGGGTCGAGTAAATAGTAAGAGTGGAACACTTGTTAGTTGAACAGATACTGTAAATTTTTGAATATTGACAAGGGTAATTAATTTTCTTGTTTTATTAGATGTTCCGGTTTATGTTCATTTTGCAAATGTAAATGTGTTCAGAATGATATAAAAGTCAGGTTTTTATGATATTCGGAACGTATTTTAACGCTCTTCTGTCATGCGATAGCCACATTTCAATATTGCTTATGACTATACATAATGACGAAATCGAAAATACCGTATTCTTTCGAAAATAAGCAACACTTTTCTGTTATAGTGTTGCTTATTTTCGGGTAGTTTAATAAAATAAAACAAATTCCCACTGAATTATGTGATTTCTGTCGATTATACCACTGACTCTGTCATTGGCGAGGATGATATCATTGACATCATTGATGAGACGGATTAATCATTTTCTTTATTTTAATAATAATAAAATAATCAATTGAATACATTTATAAAGTGTTGCTTATTTTCGGAAGAATACGGTAATTATATTATTCACTAAAACGGTAAACATTATCGCCAAAATCACGCTGGTTATGACTATCGAGAGTAATTTGTATAAGTCGATTGAAACAATTGCAGCTTATAACGATTATATATATATCGAATTTTTTAAATAGTCAAAAAAAATTTTTTTATTAAGCCAATAAATAAGTAAACTTTGAACGTATGTTTTATATAAAAACAATGGTAAGCACGCAAGACTTGTGGAACATATACTGCTCTAGTGAAGCACTGATACTGTCTTTCTAAGTCATAAAAAAGAAAGTAAAGTCTGATACATCCTAGCGTATTACTACGAGCCCAATTTTCCAAAGGAGCGCGAACATTTCACGTGATTCGAATCAATTATCGCATTCTTTTAGTCTGCACGTGATTGGTACAATAAAGCGTCCGGTGGCAGTTGTGGTAGATCTTCCTGTTCTTTCTGACGCCGATTCGACCATCATGGGTAGAGTAAGTAGACATGAAAGAATTGGCATGAGCAAAATTTGAGACTCGAATATGACGACTAGTGAAAATGATTTGGTTGCTAGGGAATGAGTTTTATGATGGATGGATAGATTTAATTGAAAGGGCAAAGTCAGCTGTAGTCAAGCAGTGCCCATAATTATAGTAACAGTATAAGTAGACATGCATACAAACCAGAATTATCTCATATTTCCCTCATCTCTCAACGTATAGTTTCACGAATATCAGGTGGTTGGCAGAAAGCTCCCCAGCCCGAAGGATCAAGTTCCTCAACTTTACCGCATGCGCATATTCGCACCTAACGAAGTAGTTGCAAAAAGCCGTTTTTGGTATTTCTTGAAAAAACTTAAAAAAGTTAAGAAAGCCGCAGGTGAGATCGTATCAATCAACGAGGTATGAATGAGATCTGAACGTAAAAGAATAGTATATCTTTTGTATAAACATTATGAAGTAAATTAATCAATCATGGATATGGGCCGATTAGATCTTTGAAAAGAGACCATTACAAATTAAAAATTATGGGATTTGGCTACGATATGATTCTCGCTCTGGCACACACAATATGTACAAGGAGTACAGGGAATTAACGAGGTATGATGGGGCGGGGGTAGTACTTGTTTTACATTATTCCACCTGATTATGAGTCTAATAATTCTCGTCTTTCTTCTGGAACTCGAATAGGACCGATGCCGTTGAAGCTGCATGTACGTATTCCGAACATTTTGGGTTTTAGACAAGAGTTTGTTTTTATTGTTGACATTGGTCTCTTTTTGAATTAGATCAAGATATGGCCGCACGGCATAGAGCTCGTTTCTCATCAATTCAAATCATTCGTGTTGCAACAGTGGCAGCGTCAAATGTAAGGAGAATTTATGCAATGGAGCCGTATTTGACGATTGAATTTTGCTTATTAATAAGATCAGTGTGCTTCGTGTCGCTCGATCATACTTATCCGTTGGGATAAATTTGCGCAATCAACTACTTCTTAGTTGCTGATTTTCGATAATCGATCTTCATTTTCTAAACATTTTACCCAACTCTTGTCTTGATCGCTAATCTCCAACCACTCACCGTTCCTCTATTTCTAGGTAAGACGCCCATACATCAAACAACTTATCGATCCTAAACTCAAATTTCCTCTACCTCACCGTGTCCTTCGTGGTAGCAGATCTACCTTCTTGGCAAAGCGCCCTTCAACTCACGCTTAATTATATTGTATTTTTTGCTTATATAATAAACATTTGAGCACTCATTGGCGTAAACATTCTTCTTACAACATGTTGAGGGTCGTTAATCACGTGTTACGTTATAGATTTGTGAAACTTTCTTTTCCAGTGTGACATTTTGATAAGTGGATTCACAGAAAAAATATCTCAGAATTCCACACTGAAAAGTTCGTTTGCACAGTATTTCCATTCTTTCAAAATCCAGCCACCTCGTGTCCGACGGTCGCTCTGGTACTTAAACCTGCTGTGACTCATTGCGTTTCCTCGAGAACAAAAAGTTTACCAGTTCCGCCCTTTCTATATTCTACTTTTTTTTTTCCTTGACTATGAAGCTATTACAGCGATATCACTCTTTGTCACATCGTCGAACACTGGATTCAACGTAATTCTTCTCAATCAACGAAATGCCTGACAACTTGATTCAAAAAGAAAAGGTGATGAGAGTTTCCTCGATTCGTTGCTCTTCGTTGTAAGTCAACGAGTAGAGCTTAGCTTTCGCGTACTAGCTTAAGATCCGCACGATTAACACTCGGTAATCAATTAAGACCTTTCAGTTTTTATTTGGCAACTTCTCGCGAGAAGAGTTGGAGACGATCTCGTCAGGTGTATCGGATCTGAACGATATCTCGGTATGCAATTTCTGCCGACAGCACAACAGTCACTTCCACTGATCATAATGTTTAGGTATTTGTTTGATCTTGCATACTAATGTGAATTACCCACTGAAATTTCTTAGGTAAATTTCAGATTGACCAAGAAGGGTATGTAATACGGACTTGCGAGCTTTGCAATGTCTATATTTACTTTTTTTTCCCAAATTGTAAGTAATTGAATATCAATCATACGTAAAAACTTAGGAGCCAAGTTGCCAGTCGATGATGGTACACAACACGTGTTAGAAAACGTATTGGAGGAAGAAACCAGCGCTCCTCAGACCTCATCAAACCAAATCCATGAATACACCTCTGATCAAGTGATGACAAATGGGATCGAGTCGAAAGTACATCACGGAGTCAATGGACAAGCTAAGTCTCCAACCGTTGAGGACGAGACTGAGCAAAATACGGAGGAACTTCCCCCCCAGAAAGCTGAGGCTAATCTAAACAAACCGCAACGGAGCTGGGCAGGATTGTTTGCGAAGCCGGATGGGGTGACATCGCAAGCCATCACGGGAGTAACACAGCCACAAAAACATACATTACAGAATAAGCAACTGAAACATACTCCTGCGCCTCCTATTAAGCCCAAAGCCAATGGCTTAAAAGGTTCGGCATTTGTGAAGATGTAAATGCTGTCTTTCTCATTCACGAATAAGTTTGAATTCAAATTATTATGTCTACAGATGTGGTTACGGGTTTCGAGGCCTCAATGCGTGCTGATTTGATAACGCCGCGGGGTCTTGTGAACAACGGAAATATGTGTTTTATGAATGCGGTAAGGTTCGTTTATATCATTCAGCATTTTCACTACATTACTTTTCTCATTTTGTCGCATTGCATATTCCAGATATTGCAGCCGCTGGCCCATTGTCCGCCCCTTTATAACTTGCTGACGAAAATTAGCAAAGAGGTTGCACATAGTTTTAAGAGTAAAACGCCTTTGGTCGATTCGATGTGAGTTTTGACGATAGTATTGCTGCCAGCAGTGTATTTTTGACGTCGTAACTTTTAACGTGATTTTGCGGTCTAGGGTTATGTTTTTAAAAGAGTACGAACAGTCTAATGTTAATGGAAACGCTGAACAAGGTATTCTGAAAAAGGAATGAAAGTTTCTAATTTTTTAGAATGACTTACTAATCGTTATTAATAGAGTACGGAAACCCGTTCGTCCCTGAGTATGTTTACGATGCAGTGAGGTCTTTGAACCGTTTTGATTCTATGAAAGTACGTACAACTGAATGTTGTATTGTCTCATAACGACTTGCTTACTTATACAAGAATACGTTGAAATAGGGTCGGCAAGAAGATGCAGAGGAATTCCTTGGTTTTCTGTTAGATGGAATGCATGAAGAACTTGTGGCTGGTAAGTACGCAATATATTGTTTTGTTGTCGGGATTTATTTACATATGCACACACGTTGTTTTCCTATGTAGCTCTTAGTAATAATGAAAGCGATGTAAAAGAGAATGCTGTAGATGGAAATGCATGGCTCGAGGTCGGTCCGAAGAATAGAACTAATATCACTCGCGCGGTCAGTAAAAAGGACTATTCATATTGGCAATTCTTGGTTAAGCAAGAGTGACATCGTCTTATCTCACATTTTCAATCTCTGTTAATAGACTGATGCAAAGGAGTCACCTGTAAGTCGGATATTTGGCGGCAAGATGCGATCTGTGTTGAAATGTCCAGGTTCGAAAGATTCGGTGACATTGCAACCATTTCAATCATTGCAATTGGATATTCAGGTATGTTATATATCGTTTTCTCGTATGGGTCACTAGTAACAATATTAGCTAAACAGGTTCTTATATGATTAGCCGGATGCTGTTAAAACTGTTGAGGATGCTCTGAGGAATCTAACAGAACCAGAATATATCGACGATTATGTTTCCCCGCAGAAAGGGCTTGTGAGTAATAATATATTTAATTGTTAACATCACAATCGATTACCGCATGTGTTACATACTTATTTACAATTGGTCGATCAACGAAGGTCCGCGCGTCCAAATGTTGGTTCATAGAGATATTGCCACCAGTTCTAATTCTTCATCTGAAGCGTTTCGTGTATGATAAGACGGGTGGGACTCAAAAACTTCAGAAAGTCGTCCAGTACTCGGATAAATTAATAATACATCCAGGTATGCACTTAATTATCAGTATAGATGCTATGCTCAAACTGCTTTGTATGAAAATTATGCCAACTTGGTATTTTTTGTAGAACTTATTTCTGCGTCTCAGCGGACCCCTAAACTTATCGAGTATAAACTTTTCGGAGGTATGTTAATTATACAGATTGCAATTTATTTAGTTCTTGTGCGCTAATTCACTCAACATTTACGTGCAATCAGTCGTATATCATCACGGGAGCAGTGCAACAGGAGGTCATTATACATGTGATGTGCTTCGACAGAACGACCAATGGTTGCGTATCGATGACACAGTAATAAAACCTGCTACAACAGAAGACGTGGTGGTCACGGAAAGCCCCAGCAAGCCGCCAGATCGTATGGCATATTTACTATTTTATATGAGAACATAACAAAAGTAAGCGTAACGATCAACGATGGTAATCGCCAGATTGAGTTGATTTATGTGATTGCCGTATGCATGGTACATTTTCAGAGACAATTTATTCTATAGATAATTAGATTTCTTATTGGGGCTGGAGTCTTCCTCGCATGATGTTTAATGTGCAAGTGTACATAGACCTTATTTATAGATTATTATTTTATTATATTTTATTATTAAGATATTTTATTTACAACCTAAAAATTTCTGTTAAGATAACGTGCGTCTTAGATACGTACCAAACATAATCGAATTAATAGTATCGAACAATTTTTATTAGAAAAAAAAATCAATAAATGTAGTGAATAATTTAGTAAGTTATGAACTAATACGTAATTTTGTGGGATAATTCGTTCATCGAATGCATGATGTTGAAACAACCTCTATTGATATAACGGGAATGTCAGTTCATTTACTATACATTAATATTCACGAATAAAATTTTGATTCGTAACGATATTGACGCGTTGGTGAAGCGTATTTACCCATTGGAAAATTAAATTTTGTGTACTCTTATATTATAAATAACTTTAAGCTATGTTTGCAGAATAAAATAAACAAGCTCTTAAAATGCATGACTTTCCTCGTTTTATTGGATCTTGCCCAGTTTCACATGAAGCAAATAAGGTTGGTGGCCTCGCGCTTGAACTCAGTTTCGTATTGTCTGATCGTTTATTGCTCGTGATTGGCCGATGCTGAGCCATGTGATAGAATTTTTTAACATAAAAGTCTAATTTATTTCATTCTCCCTCCCAAATGTCTGCTACAATGAAAGGCATGAGCTATTACGAGGTTTTAGGCGTGCACACGTCTGCTACCGAAACGGAGATCAAGAAGGTAACGTATTTTATACCTGCATTTTCGAGCTTATTCAGAATAGCCTTCTGACGAGCAATTCCTGTACTTTTTCTACACGTTTAGGCCTACCGGAAGTTAGTAAGTTATTATAAAGATATAGTCACTAAGTGACGCTCAAGGCAGCTTTGTGGCCTCCATGACGCCTCGATGTAGACGTGATTGCTGTAGTGAGTTTTGTTACAGAGATTTTCACAGGGTTTGTCAGCGGCTGGTACTTTGTAAGGGTTTCCCAATCGTACATTCCAGATTCCTGCGTCAAATGCAGTCGACTTGATTCTAAGGAGACTACGATTACAAAGACGCTGGGCGCCTATTCTAATTAAAGGCATTAGTATTCAGCGGAGGCCGTTCAGTTAAAAGTAAAAAAAAAAAAGAAAGGAAAATAAAAGAAGAACGTCGTCTGACATTTATCACTATGATTTGATCTTAGGCCATGAAATATCACCCTGATAAAAATCCCGATAAAGCAGCTGGCGAGAAATTCAAAGAAATAAGCCATGCATACGATATTTTAACCGATCCGGAGAAACGGTAAGATTGACATGACATTCAATTGGGAATTCTTTGTTTATACCAGTCACTGAATTTAAAAGAATTTGATTTTTATAAAGGCACATGTACGACAATTATGGTGAAGAGGGTTTGAATGGAGGTAGCTCTGGTGGAATGTCGGCAGAAGAAATATTTGCCAGCTTTTTCAACGGTTTGGGAGGACATAGCTTTGGACAATTTGGTAATTTAACGTGGATTTTATTCGAGTTCTGCGAATGGTTTTGAATTCCACTCGGACTTTTAAGACTCGAACTTATCTCTTACTCACAGGTGGCCGATCGAGGCAGCGACGAGGAGAAGATATCATAAAGAATTTCGACGTTACATTGGAAGACTTGTACAACGGAAAAACAACGAAATTTCATTTACAGAAAGATATCGTTTGTCCGACATGTCATGGGTAGATAGTTTGTATTACGGATCTTATCGCACGCCTGCTTGTTGGTCTCTACTGACATTCATTCCTCTACAGTAAAGGAGGCAAAGTTGGAGCAATGAGAAAGTGCATTGAGTGCGATGGTTGTGGGTTTAAGATTATTATGCGACGTGTTGGCCCTGGGATGATGCAACGGACACAAATGACCTGTCCTAATTGTAAGATATAACCAACTTATTTTTACGCGCGCATTCGGGTTTGAAAATCGGTTCATAGTCTATCCCCCAAACAGGTAATGGAGAAGGCGAAGCTCTGAGGGAACGAGACAAGTGCAAAAAATGTAAAGGTACGAAAGTAGTCAAAGAAAAGAAATACCTGGATATCTATATAGACAAAGGTATGCAAGATGGCCAAAAGATCGTTATGCAAGGTGAAGCTGACCAAGAGGTATGTGAGTCGCGATTTTTTTATATTTTGGCGATGACTTGTGATCTAATTAAATACATATTTTAATATAGCCTGGAGTGGAGACAGGAGATGTTATCTTTGTTCTCAAACAAAAGGAGCACGATAGGTTCGAGAGAGAAGGCGACGATTTACTGATCACAGTCACAATCAAACTCGCTGAGGCGTTGTGTGGCTTTTCTAAGGTTCTCATCACGCATCTCGACGGACGTGGACTAGTAATAAGCCAACCGTCTGGTGAAGTAATCACTCCAGGCGTAGTCAAATGTATAGCGAACGAGGGTATGCCCCATTATAAAAGATCAGATGAACGAGGGAATCTTTATGTCAAGTTTAATGTAGAATTCCCGGCATCCATGTGGACGAGCCCAGACAAACTTCAAGTACGTTTCGAGTGCGTGTATCGATTCAAGTCAGTTGACTGTTAATGGAGCTGAAATTATTTTGATTCCCAGTTACTTGAGTCTGTGTTGCCACCACGAACACCAGAAGATATATCTAGTCGTCCAGAGATTGTTGATGACGTTGAATTAATTGACGGCGATTTCAGCGAGGTAATTCCAATTCAAGTTGCTTTGTTATGATATGCTGCAATTGTAGCTCTGTTGACTCTTAATATTTAAATAGTACGGTGCCAAAAAAGGAACAAGAGGAAACGTATGGGATGAGGAGGAAGATATGGATGATGACGATGATCAACCCCCTATTTCTTGTAACCAACAATGATGTGTTTATAGACTGAATGGACTCTTATTTTATTTCCTTTGCTATATGATTTGTTCATCCCGTCAACGATTTTATCTAGTATGTCTTTTTACTAGTGTTTATCGTTCTGCGTTTGACCTGGATCAACGCCAACTTCGACCCATGTGGGTTGCTGGGGACAATCATTCCCTCACAATGCCACCGTTACACGCCGGTGTAGTAGATAAACGAGTCTAACTGGTTTGATATCCATTCTTATACATAATAAACGTCCGTAACGTTGCATCCATTTGCATTTTATTCCATCTAATAAGCTGATATACTTGTAAACACGAGAATTATGTCAGGATTGCGAGATGGCTGAGGTTTATTTAAAGAATTTAAAATATATATATATATGCTTGTCAAAAGAAAGAATGTTCTTAACCTAAAACAATTCTTTCGAATTAGTAAAATCTAGAGTTCTGGCTATATTTAAATACTATTTTGGAGTAAGAATAGTTATTTGGAGAATACGCGAAAATAGAAATTATAATGGGCTGAAGTTGAGGTACTTCTGCTATGATCATGTGGCCTAATTGATGAAACTGATGCTCTGCTTTACAACAGTTTCCCACGATGATATCCGTTACACAACATCTATAAATGAAAGTATCGCATAAATTATCACAATTACAATGGAACTCGATAACGAAACCTTATTTGAATCGGAAACTAATAATATACCAATGAAATCCCCCTATTCAATCTCTATGAATAACATTAGTAATAAAAGCACCCCCCGAGAATTAAGCGTGAGTTTGCAGACACAGTCCTCACAAGGAATAAGCGATACTCGTTTGAAGCAAAAACATACTCAATCAAAAGTTAATGCAACAGGTATTTTGAACATGTGCTCCCGTAATATCGGTTTGAGCTTTGTGCAGTGATATAATATGTTGGGCTCAAAGAATGGTTTCAAGAAACTCAAGTTCTCGAATGAATATGACAATGCAGCGTCCAAAGAGAGAAGAGCTTTGCTGAATCATAGTATGTTTGTTTTGATTATGTTTATCTTTCCCTTGCTTAGTTAACTATTTTAAGTCTCGGCTATATAGTTTTCACTTTATTTGTTTACTATTGTATTTTGCATTTGCAGAGGAGAATGAGGTTCTCAGAAAGACTGTGAACAAGATATTGGTGGCTACACACACGAAAAAGAGGTAACATTGAATGCGATATCGAACCCGGAAACTCTTCTCGTCAAACACAATGAAAGCAACTTTTGGTGACTACCCGTTGATATGGCCAACAAACGATTTATTTATATGGTTTTGTTTAACCCTTAGACTGAAAAGTATTTTGACTACGAAGTTGACTGAATGCGGATGGAAGAGAGACTTAAAGAGACGAATCAAGGACTCTATAAAGGCTAAAGGAATACATAACGCCACAGTTGATCAACTCGAGAATGACTGGTTACAATATGGTCGAAGTGAGTATGTAGTTACTATGATGAATCTCGCAAATCTGTCAGAGATTCTGTAGTATTTGCTTATATGCGCAATGTCTATTCTCTGTAGAATCCGTGCCTGAAAGCATAAAAGTGGATCTCTTGAGACGCATAAAGGAGTTTATTGATAATAATGTAAATGTTGACAGTGGGGAAGCAGACATTGGTAGAATCGATCCGTCGACGGAACAACAAACTACATGATAATAAACATTTTCCTTGTTTTTGAGATTAACAGACATTTCTGAACACGAGAACATCGTAGCGTAATAGTAAACAAGCACAGGTTGTATATAACTGGCTATTTATTCATAAGGAATCTCGAAAGGCTGTGTCGCCCGATATATTGCCTTGGCACGGATATAACAATGAAGAAGCCCCGTTTGCGAAATGCGCGGTGTTAGATTGTATCGAGTATAATGGATGTGTTTGCTAATAGTAAGGAAATGAGCACTACATTAGATTTAACTTAATCTTCATGTCACTAAAGCTAACGTATATGTAGCGAATAGAAGCAAGCTTT